TTTAAGTAAAAGCACAATTAACAAAAATCACAATTGTTTAAATTTATAGTTATAAATTTGGTAATTTTAATAAATTTTTTTTTTAACTTTTGAATCGGGTATTTGCGATCAGTAATCAAAGAACAAAAGAAATAATTCAAAATTTTTTTCTTATCAATTGTTTTTGTTTGTTTTATTATTTGAAGTAAAAAAACAATTAACGAACATTTTTTAAATTTAGTTTTCTTTTTCAATTCAGCATTTAAGAATGAAAAACATATTTTTAATGAAGAATTTCCGATTACAAAACAAAAAAATTAATTGAGAATACAAAACATTATTTAAAGTAAAAATTTTGGGATTACAAAATAAAAATAAAAATTAATTTCTATTTGAATTAAATCGTGATTAGTGAATAGTGACAATTATTATTTCTAAAATAGTTAAATTACATGTTTTAATAACAAGGGAAGTGCAGCTCTTGTGTGAAGTTTTTAAATCTGATTCGCTTGTTTGTGGATTTGATAATTTTTCGCAGTAAAAGTACGTCCAAAAATTTAACGTGGAACTAAAATACATACTGATAAAATTAAATATATTTGATATTATTTATGGTCATAATTTACTATTATTTTTTATTCATTTATTACAATATTTATAATTTATAATATTTATCTATTTACCAATTTTATTCTGAATCCTGCTATTTTGTAAATACGAAGAAATTATTTACAGCAACTAAAGCTCGCGTCTACTTGAAACGTGTTTGTTAAAAGAATTTTCTGAATTTCCCCCACCACATTTTACTACATTTCATTTTGTCAGCAAATAACCGCACTTATTAACTTTTATTGTCCAAGCCAGACTAAACTTAATAATACCCTACCCTCAAACTCTCTAATTAATTCATTTTTATTTGAGCTTTGCACACAAAATGGCAATTAAAAAGCTCAGTAGATACTAAAGTATGAAAAAATATAGTAGAAACAACTGGAATTAAGTTACTTACATTTACATACATATGCGTGATAGCATATGTGGCACGAGCAGCATAACTAACACATAATTTGTATGCTAATTTTCTAAAACACGTGGCAAGAATTTCGTCAACAAGTTGTTATTATTTAAAGAATTTGTAAACATTTCACGACTATCTTAAGTACCACATAGTTCCAATTAAGCGGCCTGATGTTCTCAATGCCTATTTATGAATTAATTATTATGGACATAAAAGTTAAAAATATAAGAGTAAAATTCATTATAAATCGGAGAAACACGCATTTTAAATAGTTGATTTTTTGAACTTTAAATGCAAATATCTCAAAAACCATAAATCAGCGGCAACTATGTATATATATATTCTTGATCTAGAGGACCTCCTCTATCCGTACATACCCATTTTAATACGATGCTACTCTAAATCGCAGCGGTTATTTCAAAAGCAATAGTTTTCGTTAACAACTTGGTATAAAATTCCAAAAAAAAAATTTTAGTACCTCTACTATAATTACTATCGGTGATAAGCCAGCCAAAACTGTTTTACCTAGCCAAGTTTTTGTTAGTAGATCTATACAAGATTAATTCGAAAAAGGAAGTAATAGGTTTCAATACAGAAGAGATAAACGTTCAAAATGTCCGTCAAATCCGTGTTTGTCACGAATTACCCTTTCGTTTTGAAACAAAATTTGTGATTTACAATATTGATGCGCAATAAAACATTAATTGTCTTCAAAGTGAAGGAAGATAATATTTTATACAAAACACTTTTTTATATTGATATTCATGAACGGAAACAAACATATGTATGTGGTTTTCTTTAATTATAAAGCTACCATATAGTATATCAATACATACTCCTTGCATATGCTCTGACCCTGCAGGAAAATATAAACTTGTCCGAAAATGTGGTTAAATAATTGAATACCATAATTACGCTAACTGTGCAAAAAGGTACTATGTCATATATAGTAAACGTTATAGATTGAATAAGCCTTTTCCCATTTGTGGGAAGTGAATTTGTTATTCATGAAATGGAGTTTAGAAACCATATATTACCATAAAACGCCTTTTACGAGCTTTTTTTTTATAATTTTCCAGTCGCAATCTTTTTTTAAGAACTAGCAATAAATTGATACATTTCTTTCTTTACTTTTAGATCCTAGTTAAACCGCTCTCCATGCTCTTCACTATAATTTCAAAATTATCCAAATATTTTTCCAGATTCTTACGGAAATACATAGTTTAACTTGATACTCAAATTTACTCATACAATTTGATAGTTTGTCAGCATATATTAACTATCAACAAAAAATTGCCTTGATAAAATCTGTATCCTTCATTAATTTTCGTATTAGAGGAACATCAAGTATTCTTCTTTTGGACTTTTCCATACCAATCGGGGAGTCTTTACAAATATCCTTCAACGTCTAACGCTTTGAAAATTTTTTTATTTTGCCTAACTGGATCACATATTAACTCACTGAGTTCATTATGAGGAAACAACTTTGGTGTAGTTGTTTCGCCCTTTCATTCACATCCATTGGTATACTGTATCAATATGTAGTTATTTGCGACATCATTGTTTCTGATTTTTATTGTGTAAGTTAGTAGATGTAAACTGTAATTCTAGATATATCTACGCTTGATTTTTTGTAAAACTTTAAAACCCTCCGCATAATTTTTCGCATATTTTAGGGAAAATGCCTTAAGGTAAGGAAGAACACTACTCATGATAGAAAAACAAAATTTTTATTACTAACAAGACTATATTTTTTTAAATATTATATATATGATGTTCTTAAAAACAGGACCACATTCATTATTTTCATAAATAGAGTCGTAATCGGGACACTTTTCAGAAACATCAAATGCATCTTATTATATCACTCAAAAACTCTGACTTTTCTTTTATCTACAAACAGTGAACTGAAATCGAAATATACTCTTTTATATGGGGATTTCTGCCGGAAGAATTTGAGAAATACTACGAGCATTAATTTTGATAATTTAGCCTCGATACTATCAATCAAATATAACGAGTTTGATCCATTTATTTATACTACGGGTAGCTTCCCTCATGCTAGATATTTAATTAGTTAGCATATCGTCGCCTAATGGCCTTCATAGGACTTCAGAAATGGCTGTTTTTAAAATTTCTTCTGGGTATGCACACATTTTATTCACGATGATGATGACTTTGGCTCGACAAATAAAGCTGCTGCGCCACAAAATATGCAATAAACAATAAGCGAGCACGCAAAGCAAATGTGCAACAAACAAACAAATAAATTTCATATTTTACTATCGTTGCAGATGTGTTGATTTATATGCTCATATAGAGCATACGGAAATTTTCATTGTTAAATTTATTTCAAACATGAGAATTGGCGTTTTTATGCGCCCATAATAACCTACAACTACGCACACGCCTTTCACTCAACTCTGTTCTGTTCTCCTATACTCGGCACTTGGCCTCTATACCCGCTCTACTCTATTGCTCTGCTCTAACAGCGTTCTGAGCATTAAATTTGCCAGCATTTGTTATAAAGCTCATTGTTTTTACTACATGCTATATTTGTCATAAAATATTTCTCACATGCTCTCACATGCAATGTGTATTTACAACAACAGCAATGGTATTAAATTTCTTCTTCCACTTATTGCTGAACATTTAATTCACTGCCTTTGGCCTGCTGCTGTTCTCTTCCCTGCGTCGTTGTTTAAATCATGTTTTGCTCTGCGCTTATATTTTATTGTTGCCATTAGCATTGTTGTTGTTTATGCTGTATTTGGTCAAATTATGCACGCTGTTGCTCATATATATTTACATACTTCTGTACATACAAAAATAATGACACTCATAAATTTAATTTACAAATAAAATTAAATTATTTCTATGCCACTGCACGCCAACAGCACCGCGAAGCGGTAAAAACCCACCAATCCGCGCCTTGCCTCATTACGCTCTGCTCCAGTTGTGTTTCAAGTGCCCCCAACCCTCTGCCACTTCCACTTGCACGATTTAATGAATGCCATAATGTTTGTTTTGTTTTTGTTGGCGTTGTGCCTTGCTTTTGCTCCATTTTTGATGGCATTTTTATGAAATTATGAATTTTAAATTTTACGACTTTTTTAATATTATACTTCAACTGGTGCGCTGCGCTGTGGCTCGTGGCCTGACATTTGGGCTGCCAATTGTTGTCGCCCTATACTGTATTGGACCCTCTGGTCGTTAGCTAACTGTATGCGCATTTTTTTGTGTGAGGTTTGGTGCGCACTTATTTTTAAGTGCCGCAAAATATGTTGCACATTTTATGCATTTTTAATGAAACCCGTTAGAACTTTAACTGCACACACATTTGCCCTCATGACTTGTCGTTCCTCCTTGCCCATGCAATAAGTCTTTTGATAGTAATTTGTT